CCCCAAAACCCCAAAACCCCAAAACCCCAAAACCCCTGAAGATATTTTTACATTGAATTACTTTATTTCTCTTAAATGTCTTAGGGATATCATTCTAATACTTATACCTATTGTTAAGCTTTCCAAAGTTAGGGTTTTGCTGCAATAAGTATATGCGCTCTCCATTTGTTTAAAGCTCAGGAATAATGTAGGCATCATTTCCTTTGAGACTCCCTTCAGTTCTGAGTAGATCATTCCCCAACTCTCGGGGTCTTCAAAGAACAAAGAAATGGCATAACATCCTGGATACTTCCAGATCTGGTCAATTTTGTAGAGATCTATGGCGAATCTGAGGAAGAATTTCTCAAAGTATGAGTATCTCCTTACTTAAATTTCTCTACTGAACAAGAACAGGTTTCTTCTAAAACTTTTCAAATTTTCTAAATTCCTTAAAAACCAACTCTAAAATTACCCAGAGATTATTTTCACCACTTAGGTTTATCTTAAACTATATTTCTGTATTGGTGGATTATATCTCTGAGAGTGCTGAGGAAGCATCGAAGGGTTTGATAGTAGGCTGTCATAGATAGGTTTTTCTGTGGTTATATATAGTGAACTTTCTGTTAAGGCATCTTTTCAGAGATTTAAGATATAGGTCTATGCTCTTCGGTCAGGGAGTTTATAGAGTCTATTGGAAGACTGAAGTTGAGAGAGATCTTTTGGAGGATTATTTGAAGATTTTGGTGTCTTTTGTAAGCTTTTGTTGTATTTATGGGAGGATGCTGGTCTACCATTCTTATTTTGGCTTCATGAAGACAGCAAGTATCTTTTGGAATAGTATTTTCAGGCTGAAGGATGGTATCCTCTGGCTGGAGTATTGTATCCTCTAAGCTGGAGTAAGTTTCTGTGACAAATGACTCTTCAGATAAAGATTTCTGTTCTTCCTTGAGAATCACACTCAAATTATTGTTGCTGGGTGAGTTTGAGTCCTCATCTTTAGTTTCTTCTTTCACACCAAGAACTATTAAACTAAATTGGCTACATAATTTAATGCATACAGTCAACAGAATGTTTCGTGTGTTCATCTACATCTCCTTATTTGGCTCTTCCGTAACTCTTACTTACATTCTGAGTCCTTCTGGTTCATTTGCATCAGCTAGTTTCAATATTAAGTATAGAAATCGGGGTTTTGGGGTTTTGGGGTTTTGGGG